CGCTATATCTTCAACACAACGAGTAAATCTTTAAATCAACAATCAGCATTTGACCTCTTTCACATATTTTCTTGTAGAATGGAAATATAATGTCTGTGCAAAATATTGAATCAGATAATGTAAGTATTTCTTTTATTTAAAGTAAGCTTGTTTAAATTTCTTGTATCTAGAAACAACGTGATTTTGATGCTATGCTCGAGTTAAAACGACGTGAAGCTATACGTACTGATTCTTTACCGAAGAAATTTCTACCAATGATGGAAACGGTATAACAAAAAAAAAAAAGAATTATTCTACCTTCACAAACTAGCACCTGTATTTCATTTAGTTTGAAGAGACTTCATCGTTAGCTAATAATAGTAATACTAATAGTTCAAAATTATCTTTATCAACTGCAAAAGCTTCCGAATATCGAGAACTATTATGTCGAGTAATTGATTAGATTAAGTTATTTTTTTTTTACATAAGAATCTATTTTTATAAATTTGTTTCATAATAGTTGAAAGCAGCTATGCCACATGGAATCTATCCACGTTTTACACATATGTTACAAGATCATAAAATTCATAAAACAGATCGAATAATTTTTATTAAATTACAAACGTTATTAGTTGAAAGTCTGGCAAAAGATCATCATCAACTTTTTATGGGTAATTCGAAAATGATTCAATATATATAATAAAATACTTGTTTTAGATATGGCTCGACATATCAGTGCACCGTTTCGACAAGAATATATTCAAGCAGGAGAAAATTATTTCCCGTCAACTTCTACTATTGAAATACAACAAACAAATGAAAATATAATTAATAACAAAAGAAAAGATTTATCATCCAGTGATTTAGAAACATCTTTAGCAAAAGTAGTTAAAAGTAAATTATTTTTATAAAATTATTAAAACCTATATAAAAGTTTCTATTATTTTAGCTAACCATAGCAATAATCCATTTCGATGTAAATGATATATTCGATAAAAATAACCGTCTCTATGTTTCAACTCATTTTCTGAAAAGAATCCAGTTGAGTTTTCAATGTTATCCATTTCTTTGTGTTTCTTATTTGTGTATTATTAAATAGACTTTATTATGTAATAAAAAAAAAATTGTATTGATTATAATACACAAATTTTATTAACATGAATAATGAATGCCAGTTAATTGACAAATATACAGAATGATAGAGAATTTCAAGCTCTATCAATATATATATATATATAATTAGTTTTCTACCAAGATATTCCTATAATTATAAATAATTGAAACAACTAATTTATAACACAGTAGCAAAATTCACTTTATCAGAATCTAATGACTAGGATGTCTTCAATATGATCGATTTATTTTCTATTACATCAGCGCAAAGTAAAACATGAATATATAGAGTGCTTTAATTTGACCCTCCTCTAGGATGTGTGCTTTCAACAACATTGTATTCATTATGTTTCACTGAAATATACCTCTACTTCCATTTAATTACGGTTCTAAACAATAAGCATATAAACATTTAATATATCTGATTCATAACTTTCCCGTGTATATTGAGAGTTATTAAGTTGACGCTCCTGGGCAAATATTCGTTTTAGACCTCCAAGTTTAGTCAGAGGCATGAAGGTGTTAACTTAAATCATCATATTTTTTGTTTTCTATCTATTCAGCTTCCAATAAATGAAAGCTACTCTTCAAATAAAATAGTTGATTTGGTTTATATAATACTTTTCAATTCGTATTCGGCGCATGTCCGTATTTCTAATTATTATCCTTAACAAATATGTTGTAATATACCATGAATATCAAAATTGATCATCTACTAGTTAACATACTTTTATGGAGAAAAAAAATAGTTTAAAATATTAATTAAAAACAAAACCTTAACATTGAATAATATAACTATGTTTGCAAGAATATGAGAAACAAAAACAGATTCTCTTTTATGTGTTGAGTTGAATTTCACTGGTTGATCATCGTTCCAAATTTTGGACAACACATGTGTACAATATCATTTTTGAACTGATTCTCTTGTACATATGTGAATAATAATACGATAAATTTTTTTTTCTTGACGTTTGTTATGTCTACTGTATCGTACATGTAATTTATTACAAAACGAAAGAAATAATTGAGAATGATATCTCCTTTTTGTTATGTATACTAGTTTGAATTATGTAAACAATAAACTTGAACTAATTAGACAGTTGTCAACTCAAAATCTTTCTCAATTTAATTTAGTACTAACATTTCACAAAATAATCATTGTATGTTTATCTATATTTGAAATTTCTTTTTGTTTGTGGTATTGAGTTACAATTCATATGATCTAATTTATATCGATCCTGAGCAATGATGTTTAAAAAAGAAGCTTAGTTAAAACTTAAATCATAAAAGTGACAAACCAAGCTGCTTGATAAAATAATTTGATGAATTGAATTATCTAGCAAACAGATACCGACTGTATAGAAAAACTTTATGTTCACATTTCAATTATGATTTGAATTGTAAAAAAATTAGTTTATATTCTATTGTTTTTCTAAAAGAAAATGGTGGATAGTATCAATAGTGTAAATTTATTCAGATTCTGAAGACATACGTCGTTCAGTTTATTAATCATTCACATATGTATGTAATTTAAATTATAAACGACAGTTATTTTTCTTCATAACTTATCAACTCAACAGAATATGTCATAGCGTAAATGAAAATAGAAAATATGACAAATTGAGTTTTTTTCTGCTCATTAAAACATTTTCACGCTACAGTTGAATGGTGAAAACAAATATCTATCAAACATTATTGCACATCGATGAAATGGCAATAAAAAATTTCGTTGGGAACGGTGAAACTTATCAGCTTGATTTTATTTTTTTTTCTATTTCTTGTCGAACGAACTAAAAGAACAACTAGACATATATATTTTACTTCTGACGTCATTGCCGACTTATGCCATCTATTGCTTTTGTTTTTAGGGTTAGGACAGTGTAAATAGTCAACACATATACTCGAGTCCTTGAAACTGAAACGTGAGCTCTTATTCTTTTCAATTCGTTGAATGTCAAATACACTTATTGAAGATTTAAATTGTCTCGAAACTTATTAATCCTTTTCTTTTGATTTATTTTTCTCTATAAATTTATTGACACTTGACTATATAATGGGCAATACATCACAAACTGGTACGACATCGCATTTGAAAAAGACAGAAGATAATTCTAAACAAAATGCTCAAATATATGAAGAAATCCTTCGTCTATTATCCCTCGTAATAAAATAGAACAAAAACTAATGCGTTATTTTCGATTACTAATTATTTCTAATTTATTTTAGTTATGTACTGATGATCAATTTCCTCTCTGTATATTCCGACAAGGCACTGATGCATCGTCACATTATCACATTATCGAAGTTGTTTTATCTCCAACAAAATCAGAAGAGTTTCTAATTCTTTTAGTCAAACTTATTTGGAATAATCGTACGAATATTCCTCGACATGGTAAAAATATTAATTTTATACGAGAACACAATGAAATACTTCTCTTTTTGTTTTTCAATGATTTAGAGATAACTAAACTGTTTTATGACTGTTGTATGTTTGATTTAAAACAAGCTTTAACCGAAGATGTGACAACATTTCAAACTAGTATGCTTGATAATCAATGTTTTTCAGCATTGACAAACAGTATCGGAACAAATACAACATCTGATATTGAACAAGAACAATTTTATCAATGGGTACGCGCACAATTTCCAACATTATTCTATAATTTTGAAATGTGGCTTCGCAAACATTCAACATTGTCTAAAAATAACAAAACTTCTCAAGAAGCATCTGCATCTGTAATCAATACATTGTTTTATTAAAAATGATTGTTCTATTGTTTTATTTTATATATAGAATCGTTCATTAATGAAAATGAATAATATTCTTAATCCAACATGGGTATGGTTATTAACTCATAACATTCCTATTGTGTATCTATCAGTAGATAATTCTTGTACAACTTTATTGGACCGTATGTCCTCAGTCTTGGTGAGTTTTCCTGGTTTTTTTTTGTTTTTATTTCTTGAATTTTTTAAACAATAGTATGATCGAATGTGGAACTATTTATATGATAGTCATCGAGATGGATCAAGTTTGAATAGGTTATACAAACTTTAATAGAAATTTTTTGAATTATTTATCTAGTTCTATCTAGATTTCAACATCATATTTTTGGTTACAAAGCACCAATAATTATTTTATTTGAAATATCAAACGGTTATTTATTTTGTTTATGTTGCGATGAAGAATTCAAGTAGAAAATTGAAAAGAAAAAAGATTTTTTTCTAAATAATTTTTATTTCGTTTCATAGAGAATCACCTAAACATTTTGGTGGTATTCAAGCATGTTTATATCAATTAAAACCTGTATTTAAACTTATTATTGGTAGAAATCAAAATTTTCTCATAAGTAAAAATTTTTCATTCGTTCGTTTTTTTTTTGTCATTTTAAGAAGGTCCAAATATAATTTTTATGAATACAAAATTACGTGGTTTATCAGCACCTGGTTTATTCATTGGTCGTGATCTTGCACATACATTTCTAAATATTGATGGTGACTTTTTCAATGTAAAACATCTAAATGGTGAAGGTCGTTTAGCTGCTATTGATGTATGGGGTGTTGGAGGTAGAAAAAGTACTGAAGAACAGAGTAGTATGCGTCAATGGGAAAACACACAAGTTGAAAAATCTCGCAAAGTAAAATGAAAATGAATTTCAATTTTGTATCTTATTTTGATCTATTTGTAGGTTAAGAGATCATATGAAGAAGAAGAAGCTATTTTAAACATGGCTGGTATCGTAACACGCCATGAACAAGAACAATTATAATGCAACTATAAGGAGAAATGTTGTTTTTTTTTTTTTCATTCTATGCCATGTACAATATAAAACTGTCGATAATTTGAATATTTTTAACCAGCATAATAAAGTAAAATATATTTTCAATTATGTTTTAGATAGATCTGAATGGCGAATGTTTTTCGTCAATTTTTAGTCGATGCTGAAAATGGAGATGCCGCTGCTGTTAAAAGAAATATTGAAAATGGTATTGATTTAGAAACACGTGATGAAGTAAGTTGTAGATAGAAAAGAAGAAAAACAGATTTTACTTATTGGTTTTTTGTCTGTTTTATTGAGGATCAACAAACTGCACTTATTTTATCAGCTCGATGTAATCATCTAGAATGTGTAAAAGTTCTTCTTGAAGCGCATGCTGATGTAAATGCGGAAGATGTGGTAAGGATAAATTATTAATTTAATCTGTTTATTGTGAGAAAAGGAAATAAGCTGTAAATGGTGTTTTCTAACAAATACAAAGAATAAATGATTAAAACTTTTAGCATGTTCGTTTTCTAAAATACAATTCTGAATTGTTCTATAGTAACGAATATAAGTTTAGAATAGTTGTATTTTTTAAGTTTTCTTCTCGATGGTTATAGCTAGGAAGAATCTGAAAAAAAAACACATTTGAGTGGCTGAAAGGATTTTCAATTGTGATTTATAAACCTGAAAACTTTGATAAAATTGTTTGAATAAAGATGTCTGAATAACATAGAATTTCAAAACCGATTTTTTTCCACAGATAAAGTACTACGTATTTTCTAAGTCCTCAATCTAATTCAGAAACTTCGTGAATCAAACAAGTGCTAATCACTACAAGGAATGCCGTAACCAAAATGATGAATTGTTTTAATCAAAGATTATTTAAAAAATAGATTCAACAAATGTCTTCAAACAAATTGATTGTGTGTGATTAAGCATGACTACTAATTTAAATACTTGTTCGAGCAAAAACTTGTTTAATTATTTTTTGTGAGTTTCAATATGGCAAAATCACTAGTTTCGGCCCATCTTAACTATAACGTATTCGATTAAACGACGATTCCTTTCATGTAATTTTCCAAAAAGATTAATAATCTAGATCAGTATGAAAATATGTGTCATTATTGCATATATAAAGAATATGATTCTAAATTTATTTCATTGAAGTATTTTTCAATGAATTGTTTTTTATTTAGGATAACTGGACAGCATTATTAAATGCATCACAAAATGGAAATTTAGATATTGTTCGTGTTCTTGTCGAATATGATGCAAAAATTGAACATTGCGATTGTGTAAGTCTTGAGTAATTTAAGACAAAATAATATAGAAGAAAATATTGAATTTTTGTTTTCGTATTCTATTCAATAGGGACAATTTACTTCTTTAATGTGGGCATCTTATGAAGGACATACAAGAGTTGTTGAATATTTATTAAGTTGTGATGCAAATGTTGATGCTGTCGATGAACATGGAATTTCAAGTTTAAGTTGGGCATCAGGACGCAATCATGTTAATATTGTAGAATTATTACTGAAAGCTGGTGCTTCACCTAATCTATGCGATAAGAATGATACAACTCCATTAATATGGGCTAGTCGACGTGGTATGTATAGATAATTAAATTCAAATAATAATATTTAAAATTTTCCTATTAGGTCATACGGAAATAGTTGATTTATTATTAAGATTTAATGCTAGTGTTAATAATATTGGAATGAAAAATATGACAGCTTTATTAGCTGCTACAAAAGGTGGTCATGGTGAAACAGCTCTTCGTCTACTTCAAAATCAAACAATTGATATTAAAGTACAAGATAAGGTGAGATGATAATAAGCTTTTTTATAATAAATTTCAATAAATTAACTTTAATAGGATGGACAAACACCATTGAGTCATGCATGTGCTCAAGGTCTTACTGATGTTGTTGCTGAACTTGTTCGACATCATGCTTATGTTAATACAGTTGATAGAGTACGATTAATAATTAATATTTTTTTTTTTTTTTATGTTTGAAGTATGTATTTATTTAGAATGGTGATCCGGTTCTTTTCTTTGCTGTGAAAGGTGGAAAAGAAGATTGTGTTGCTATTCTACTTGATAATCATGCTGATATAAATGCTATTGGTGCTGTAAGTTTAATAAAAACATGATATATTTTTAATTATTATTTACTATGATGTATTTTAAATAATCAAAAGGATAATAAAACAGCTATTTGGTGGGCAGTTGAAAGAGGTCGACTTGATGTTGTTAAATATTTGCTTCAATTTAATCCGGATGTTGAAGTTGTTGGTGGTGAAGATGATGATACACCACTCTTATTAGCTACTAAACGAAAACGTGTAGCTATTGTTTATGAACTTACTAAATATGGTGCTCGATTATCATCTACTGATCGTGTAGGATTTTGCACTTTTTCTCTAAAAAAATGCTTTTCGAATTTATTCAATCATTTTTATTTTTCAGTATGGTGATAATAGTTTGCATATTGCTTTACGTAACCGCAGTCGAGATATTGCTGATATTCTACTTTCAAATCCACGTCATTCGAAATATTTATATCGACCTAATAAACGTGGTGAAACACCATACAAAATTGATGCTAATTTACAAAAGAGTATTTTAACAACTATTTTTGGACAACGTATATATTTCTATTTTTATTGAAATAGATTTATGATTATCTACTTGTATTTTATAAATAGGAACATTAAACTTGAATGATAATTCTATTCTTGGTTATGATCTATATTCATCAGCATTAGCAGAAATATTAAGTGAACCATCACTTCGAACTCCAATTACTGTGGTAAGCAATCATGTCTTTTTTCTTGTGTATACATGTTTCGATCTTGTCTAATCGACTATATAGGGTCTTTATGCAAAATGGGGTAGTGGAAAGTCAGCATTATTAACACATTTAAAAGGTAAATTTTCTTGTTTTATATTGTGATTTGGTTTTAGTTTTCTTTTGCTAGACGAGATGCATAGTTTTGCTCAATTAACAGGTAAATAGGTTATTTCATAAGCCTTGAAGCACAATAAAATTAGTTTATATGCCGACAGAAAATAATTTCTAATCGAATATTTTTCGATGAGTTTTGAGTACTCATATGAAGCTTTCAAATGACATATTATTGGATAATATATCTTCTCTTGTCATAATAAAAATGAGAATACATTTTTCATAATCAATCAACATGATTTGTTAATAAAGTGTTGAGCAATTCTACTTAAAAAAAAATAACATAGTAGAAGCTAATAATTATTTATCTAATTTAATTATTCGGCGCTCATTACATTCCAATGATTACATGTTTAGTCGAATTATGTATTCCGTAATCAAATTGATATGAATAAAGTATATGAAAACATTAGGTATACAGAACGAAATCCAAAAAATAATGATATGACATACCGAAAGTATATCGGAAGTATTAAAAGAAAAAGTATGAGAAGAAGAATTTTCAAGTTTTAAACAAATAAAAATTAGATTGAATAAAGAATGAAAAAAATCTGCTTTTCATGATTGATAAAAATTTCTAAGAGACTTGATAAATTAATAGAAATTGATGAACAACAAAGGCTTAATAGTTAAATGAGATTTTTATGTAATCAGATTATAATAAAAGTATTTTTCATTTTTATTATTACAAGTTAAAATATATTATCCAATTATATGTCATTCGAAAGATTGGTATGAGTACTCAAAACTCATATAAAAACATTCGATTAGAAGTTATGATCTATCTACAAATAACTTAATTTTGTTCCGTCTCAATACTTATGAAACACGCTATATTTTTTAAAATTATTTTCTTTTTTGCTGACTGCTTCTATGATCTCTTTTTTAGACTTTCCTACTATGGAATATTCACCATTACTTCTATCAGTTATTGTAATTGTAGCATTAATTATTGGTCTTTTTATTAGCTCTTTAATGCATTACATTGTTGGCATATCATTTAGTGTTTGTTTGATTATGATTTGTATAGCATTTCTTGTTTTCATTCGATATCTTCTTCGTCATAAAGATTATATATGGACGGCTAATGTAGCACAATTTATAAAGAAACGTTTAGAAATGTTAAGATTTTTACTTCAAGTTCTTTTTATGAATCCATATGTTCATCATCGTTCAAAAAAAAATGATGCATTTGATTATCAAAAAATGAAGTAAATTTAAAAATGAGATAAGATTTCATTGAAATATATATATATATATATATATATTACATTTTATATTCTAGATTTATTTTTACTGAATATGGAAAAATTTCGACAGTTGAAGGTGATAAAGCAAGTGCTGGTATGATTGCTGAATTAGCGACAAATATTGAAGAAACATTTGGTCTTGTGGCAACACGTCTCTGTCGTGCACTTCATTCCAAAGGTTTATTTGAAAATTAATTTTTTTGTTATGATATTTATATTCTTATCTACTAATTAGATTTAAATCGTCATCAATTTCGATATATATGTTGTATGCCAGCATTCGTTTTTGTTTCTATTCAAATCTCTCTTCTACTAACGTTCGGTACTCTTGTATTTATATATGGTAATAGTTTTCTGATCAATATTATACTAAAAATATATTTTTTTAAAATTATCATAGGAATTCCATCTAGTTATCGATCG